TGCGTGGAGTGTGAGATTGAGAACGCGTTCGAAACATGAGAACGACATCTGTTGAAAAGGATTTTGTGACTTAGGTTTGACCTAATGTTTTTTTTTCCTAACATATTATTTAATTATTAGATGATTTTGGTCTATTTAATACGAGATAATTTAATTTATTTTAGATTTTTATTAATTTTTTTTTTTATAATATATTAACACACTCATTTTTTTTTTTTATAAGATATCATGTTATTAATATAGTCGGAGCAATAAAGTATTCTCATTGTTAGTATACCATTTAGGTGTCTGATTGCATTCTTGTCATAAGAATTCTTTTTTATAATCAAAATAAAATTGTTTCATGATAAATAAATAAATAATACATGTGAGATTATTTATGATTATCTGATGAGATTAGTTATATGAATGAAGAGCATAATCGAACTGGTGAATCAGCCGTTGGAGATTAAGGTGAAGACCATGCTTTGCCTACTTTAATTGTGGGATTCTCTTTGGACAACTGATTGTATGTGGAAAGAGTTCTGGAAAATACTTATAAAAAATTAAGGTCTCTTTTTGTTAGAATAATAAAAAAGAAAAGAAAAAAAGAAATAGTAGCTCTCTACATCTTATTTGGAAATGGACCTTGGAAATAAAAATAAAAAATAAAAATAAAAAAGTTGTGAATATGTGTATGAGATAAGCACCCCATTATTTTGCTTTCATTATTTCCCTTTCCATCAACTACCTCAAACCAAAGGCACTCAATGTGTGTTTTTGTGGGTGTCAATAAATCAATGTCTTAATCATTTTTTAAAAAAACTCATCACTATGAGGGATAGAGCTAGGATTTTTTCTTTTCTTCTATTTAATTTTTTTAATTATTTTAAAGTGGTGCCACAACTTGATAAACTGTTTTGATTTTTAATTTAACAAAAACAAAGTTTACCGCACTATATTTACATTGAAATTGAGGTGTTTAAGGAAAAACATTTTAAATTGCAATTAAAACAATTAGGTAATTTGGTTAATTGCTTCTACAAGGGGGAAAATGCAATATTTATTTATTTACATTTTTTTATTTTTTTATTATTATTATTATTTTTTTTTAGAGAAACTAACATATGTAGTATTTGAGATGAGGCACACCGACTTTTGTTCAGGGAACTATGAGGCTGTCAACTTTGGAAAAAAACTATGAGGCTGTCTGAAAGCGAATTAAGGAACTCGAAGCCAGAATATTTGCTTTCTCAAATTTAACACAAAGCAAACAATTCTCTATGTATATAATTATATATGTATGTATATGTATGTATATTCATTACTCGAAAAATGTGATCTCTTATAAAATTGTCATACAAGATAATATGTTATATTTGATTAAATGAATATATTAATGACACAAACATGTCTATAATTTTGGGCCGAATTAACATAATTAAATAATTAATACAACCCTTAATCTTACTTAGGCATACCGGATGTTTCTCATAATTAGTTTCGAAAACAGATTCATATATAGTTGTAAGAAATGAAGTTTATATATCAACACTCGCAAAACATTCCAAATTTCCAACCATATGCATGGTAAAAGCATGTCGTTGGTCAGATAATTATTAAAAACTCAGCTATTGAGAAATAATTACATGATTTTACGTAAGCAAATGTGTTAATTTTATTTCTTTATCTACGTGTCAATTAGTAATGGATCTGAACTAATGTTTTAAGTAGGAGTGACAATTCGTGTACATGGGTTAAAATCGCGTCATGTCAATGTAAGGGTACTCAAGGGCGAATCCAGGAATTGTTAATGGAGGGGCTAATATTAAACAAGGAAAAATTGGGGATCGAAAGATTAAAGAGTTAGAAAATTTTAGAGGAAATAGGATTAGATTTTAGAAGAGGCAAAAGAGTGAGCTCACTGATTTGTGCAAGATTAGGAATTTAGGAGTTCTCTGTGCTCTAGCTTAGTAATTGTTTAGAATTTGTTTGGCTTGGGCCTATTTGGTTAGACCTTTGTTTTAAAATTGTGGTTTAAATATTAGACTTGTTTGGATGGATTAAAATTAAGGAGGCTAATACTACCTATACTAATTTATTTATTCATTATTTTATTTTATTTTATGTTGGGGGGCTCAAGCCCACCCATTCCCCCCTTGGATCCGCCGAGGATACTCTGCTAAACAGGTCAATCCGAACACATCTCATTTAATAATTATATCGCGAACTCTCAACATTAACATAACTTGTTTAATAAACGGGTTACACATGTCAATCGTTTTAATGACTTATTCACCAAGACCATCCATTATATTATTTAGATTATTTATAATACTCAATACTACCAAAAAAAAAATCTCAATTCAACCAAATATTAGAGAATCCAAATATTCAAAGGAAGAAGAAAAGTATCAAACACCCCATACCCCCATAGTTAAGTAGACAAAAGTATAATTGTTTAAGTAACTTTAATCACCTAAAAGAAATATTAGTTAAGAAGTTAAGTTAAGATTTATATTAAAAAGACTTAATTGTCCATAGTAATTAGGTATAATTAACAAGATTACGAAATTATTAGTTAGATGGGACTTATGCAAAAGAAGAAAAAAAAAAAATTTTAATTTTATGAATATATACCGTTGAATTCCTCAACTCTACCATAATATGATTAAATAATTGTATTGACCAATTTAAGATCCAAATCTTATTAAAATTAACCAAAATTTACTTGTTCCACTTTGCCATCCCTAATTCCCGACCATGTATTAATACCCATCATGGGACCACTTCTACAAACATAAAGTGAACGTGTACTACCTCCGGTACTCTGTTTTTAATGCACTCTCCCTTGTAAAACTTTGACTTGCACCAAAATATTACGGTGCACATATATATATATATATGTATGTATAGAAAACCGACTGATGGTGGTGTCTCTGACACCAAATAGCTTTCTGTAACCGGGTGACAATGCTAAGGGTTGGTTGCCTTTGGGCTTTGTTTGCTCTCTCTCAGGGCTGTTTGGCCAAAGGCCTCTTTTGTAATCCTTTTTTCATTTATACGATTTGCTTAAAATTTCAAAAAAAAAATGCTTTGTGTGTCTTACGAATAAATCAATAATGTATCTACAGTTGAATGCTTAGTATTTGAGTTTGATTAACGGATTGTAAAATTAATTGACATTAATCAATCTTAATGTTGTGCTTGGGTACACTTCCTTAATTTTTCTCTCTTTTATGAAAGAAAAAATTATTTTGAAGATATTCTCACTTTCATGATAGAGATCTTTCAACGTGCTATAATTAAGGTAGGAGGATGTTTTTTAAATTATTGAAGGTGCAACTAAAACCAACAACTTTAACGGTAATTATTGCAAATTTTTATTAGTTGCCATTTATATATAATATTGACATGTAACTAAACCTTATGTCTAGCCGTGTGCCTAAAAATCTATAAGAAATGATCAATTAGATGATACAATAATTTGCATCATAAGTAATTATCAAGATCTAAATTCGGGTGTAACTCTTGAACTAATGGTCGACGATGATGGTAGTGTTAGGCTTCTAAAAACACCCTATAAATAATCTACTAATAAGCATATGCAATTCTTCCGGCCCTCATACACCCGTCCTTTTTATTAATGAGTTGCAAGATCTGGCTGGCTCCTGGTTGAGTCTGGGTTTAAAGTTTAAACTCAAGTTGTATAACCTCTGCGCTTTATTATATTGGTTTTCGGTTGAGTTCGGGTTTACAATCAAGTCGGGACTAATCCCTGGGCACTGGGTTTGGATTCGGTCATAATTGCCAGCCCCAACAGACTACAGAGTTGGTAGAAGCTTTGACTCGCAAAGTATGTTTGTTGTGTACTCCACGCCATAGTTAATATCCAGGCCCCCCATGGATGACACGATTTTAATATCACTGGTTAATGTATTCAAAGTGTTTTTCTTTTTATTTAATAACTACTGTACTATTTATGTGAGTGATGTTGTGTTTTAGTGTACTGAATTAGATTGAATTATATGACTTTTTTTTTTTTTTGTTAAAAGGTAAGCTTGAATTATATGACGTTTCTTGACATCATCTTGTGAAAATTCATTTTGAAAATCGTATGCAAGAAAGGGCATGAAAAACGTCACACTCCTCACTTGAAATAAATTTTCTCCAAATTTAAAATAGATTTTAGGTTTCAAGTACATCATTTAACCCTAAATACTTAAATTTTTAAAAAATATTATAAAAAAATTCAATTTACAATGATCAGTTAGAAAAATGTAGCTCTTAAAATTCACCTATTTTTAATACTTAATTTTTTAGTTTTTTTTTTTTTAAATTGTATTGATAGTTAATATCCAGGCCCCCCATGGATGACACGATTTTAATATCACTAGTTAACATATATTCAAAGTGTTTTTCTTTTTATTTAATAACCACTGTACTATTTATGTGAGTGATGTTGTGTTTTAGTGTACTGAATTAGATTGAATTATATGACATTCCATGACATCATCTTGTGAAAATTCATTTTGAAAATCGTATACAAGAAAGGGCATGAAAAACGTCACAATCCTAACTTGAACTAAATTTTCTCCAAATTCAAAATAAATTTTAGATCACAAGTACATCATTTAACCCTAGATACTTAAATTTTTTAAAAATATTATAAAAAAATTCAATTTACAATGATCAGTTAGAAAAATCTAGCTCTTAAAATTCACCTATTTTTAATACTTAATTTTTCAGTTTTTTTTTTTTTTTTAATCAAAAGTTAAATGCTAACAAAAGATTAGTTTGGATTAAAAAAAAAAAAAAATGTCAAATGCTAACAAACCTTTAGAACACTTGTCTCATGCTAGTTGAGCCCAGGGCTTCCTTAAGCCTTGCAATTTGCTTAGTTGGCTCCAGGCTCTTCCTCATGCCAGTGAAGACAGGCCAATATTTATTAGGGTAATAACCACTTTCTGCTAAGTTTCACCATCCACAAACCTTATATAACACCACTACAATTTCCATTTCTCTATTCACAACTAAATCTCTTAAGAGGGAGAGAGGTTCACAACAAGTGTCCTCATTAGTCATTATAGTGTCCATGTCTAGTCCTTCAGTTTTTGTCACCATTTTGGCTGTTGCCTTGGTAGCCACAGTTGCACCACAAGCCGAGGCTGCTCGTGCATTCTTCGTGTTCGGGGATTCGCTCGTCGACAATGGCAACAACAACTACTTGGCCACTTCTGCACGAGCCGACTCGCCGCCTTACGGCATTGACTATCCCACTCACCGTCCCACCGGCCGCTTCTCCAACGGCTTTAACATACCCGATCTCATCAGTACGTAAATTCTCCATTTCATCACTTTCTTTTTTCAAGTAGTTAATTTCTTTCTCATGCTACATATATATTTGACTTCATTCATACCATTAATTATAATGTCTGTTAATTTTATACCATGTAGGCCAGCATATCGGCTCCGAGTCCACATTGCCATACTTGAGCCCACAACTCACCGGCCAAAAACTACTCGTCGGTGCAAACTTCGCTTCTGCTGGAATCGGAATCCTCAATGACACAGGAATTCAGTTTGTAAGTAATGCTTGTGTGCACTGATCGACACATATATATATATATAGCACATATGTATGTATTAAAATGTACATGAATATTTGTAAGAATTTGAATCCCTCCACCGATTTTGTGGCACAATATCAGGGGTAGCCAATGCACAATCATAGAAATTGTCATTTGGTCTTATTACACGAGAAATGAAGAGTTATTTATACTGCAAAATATTACAATCGTAATACAATAGTTAAATCACAAAATAATGACGATGTAATGTAGTTGTTATATTAGAGTTGTAAAGTTACAGCTTCAGTGATTCGGGGACATGAATACATGATAGTTCCATTTCCCAGATATCTTTGGTGTTTTAAATTGAATGGTGAAACCCACGCCCACGTGAATAAAATTACATTTTTATCACCGGCTACGTTGAAGACTGACTTCAGCAAAACAAGTAAGTACATGCAGAAAGGGAAGTCAAAAGAGTACAATAATTTCTTCAACTACTCCATATCTATCCTTCATATAAAGGACATGCAAATAATTAATAGTCGTCAACTGCTTTTAACAAGTTGGTGGTTTTATTTACTGAGTGTCAACTGTCAACGTATATGCACGATCTATCACCATATGAGTTCATCTGTATAGTTGCTTTTCATGAGATAGAGGCCAGCAGCTACACAAGGTCCACAACTCCAGATGAAAGGACATTCCTATCCATTTCCTAGTCTGTTACAGATCATTCCTCTCACAAGATTTAAGCTCTTCGCATTTAACCAATGAATTATAGGAATGTATTAAATAATTCATTTAATTTTTTATAAATTTTAAAAAATTGTATTTAATGACAAGTTCGTGACTCTTGTCACATGAAAGCTCGCTTAAGAGTATTACTATTTTTATTTTTATTTTTGCCGTATGGAACAGTTTCGTCTCCTATGCTCTTAAGCAAAACATCAACTTTTATGTTATTAATTCAATTTTGAAGCTTTAATTATAGTAGTATTTATTGTTCAGTAAGTTTTGTTTTGGTTTTCATGGGCAGGCAAACATAATAAGAATCGGTGCGCAATTGGATTTCTTTCGCCAATACCAGCAACGGTTGAGCGCCGTAGTTGGACAGAAACAGGCGAAGCAGCTGGTGAGCAAAGGGCTGGTCCTGATGACACTTGGTGGCAATGACTTTGTTAACAACTACTTCTTGACCCCATACTCTGCCCGAAGAGCGCAATTCAGGAGCTCTCTCCCCGCTTATTCCCGCTATCTTATCTCTGAATATAAGAAAATTCTCAAGGTACGTAATACTCACTCATTCTTAATTACTCAGTCTGTTCACTGATTCGTACTACTCTCTATATGTGCAAGCAATGACGAGAGCTAGCCTCGTGACCAATTGAGGGATTACAATGACATGTTAACAAACATTAATTGCATTTCTTTCAAATCCACATCGAATTAGTTAATATACTCCCAATGTGGTTGGGGTTTGTCGTTCGGTTTTTTTTTTTTTTTTTTTTTTCCTTCAAATCCACATCGAATTAGTTAATATATTCGCAATGTGGTTGGGGTTTGTCGTTCGGTTTTTTTTTTTTTCTTTTTTTAGATGTTGAGAAATGAAAACTCTGATGTGAAATGAAATCCACATCAAATTAGTTACTATACTCACAATGTGGTTGGTTTCTTCTTTCTTTTTTTTAGTTATGAGTTGTTGAGAAATGAAAACTCTGAGAGTGCAATAAAAGAGGACCGGCCTGAAGTCAAAATATTCGTTGCAAATGTTTTGGAGTCCAAATTCCGAAACTGACCCTATGTGCTTCCCATTATTTGGACAGCAGCCTTCTGTTCTCTTTGTTTTTGCCTCATTGGGATTTGTTTAGAACTGGGATTATACGGATTGTTTAGGTAGTCAAGAAGGCATGTGATCACTAAAAGTGTCTATTTTATTTAATCAACTTCTTATGATTTGTGGCGGACTACTTAATAATTTCGTAGTAATTACTTACTCTGACACCTTATTATAGTGCAATCTATTTACCTTTTCATTTGTTTAATGTATACACACTTAAACTTATATACTAGAGAAAGAAAGAATTTTTTTTATATATATATTAGAGAGAAAAAAAAAAGTTTATTACCGAAAGATATGAAATGAAATGTGAGAGGGGATGTTATTAGTGAAAGAAAAAAAAAAACATAAAAGTCACAATGTCGGCAGAGAGAGCTAGACTTGAGTGTTTCTTGAATGCAGAGGCTATATGATTTGGGAGCCCGGAGGGTTCTTGTGACCGGAACGGGACCGTTGGGTTGTGTCCCGGCAGAGTTGGCCATGAGAAGCAGAAACGGAGAATGTGCGCAGGAGCCTCAACAAGCCGCAGCAATATTCAACCCATTACTGGTGCAAATGATTCAAAGCCTCAACAAAGAGTTAGGATCAAACGTGTTCATTGCTGTTAATGCAATGGAAATGAGCAATTCTTTCATCACAAACCCAAAAGCTTTTGGTAATTTATTCAACATAGCCATCGCTGTTAATACATATTTCTATAGCTGTTTATGTGAGTGAGAATGACATCATAACCACTCATATAAAATTAACCAGTGACTCATATTTATATGCTTAATTGTTTAACAAAATAAATAATTTCAGCTAAATCTCATTTAATTTCTTGATTGGAATAGGTTTTGTTACCTCAAAGATAGCATGTTGCGGACAAGGACCGTACAATGGACTTGGACTCTGCACAGTTGCATCGAACATCTGTCCGAACAGAGACGTCTACGCGTTCTGGGACCCCTTCCATCCATCTGAAAAGGCAAACAAAATTATCGTCCAATCAATCTTGTCTGGAACTACCAAGTACATGAACCCCATGAATCTAAGCACCATCATGGCCATGGATTCCATGACCTAACAAATAAGGTCTTAGAATATATATATATATATTTAAATATATGTAATCTATCTTTCAATTTCCTGTCAAGTACTCTGTTTTTTTTAAATGTAATAATTCTGTGTGTCACCGTTGAAATACAAATTAAGCTATTAGACCTTAACTATAGAGTTCCATTTGGATGGGGTGAATATATATATATATATATATATATATATAAAGTATTGATCTTGTCTTCAGTAGATCAATGCCATGTTTCAGGGCACTTATGGGGGGCATGCACTAGTGATCTTTCTGTAGTTAGCGATCACATTGCATTTCCTGTTCTAATCTATATTCCGATTATTATAATGTGAATGTCAAGTGGATTGGTTGTTATAAGAACTGAAGATAAAACCTATTTAACGATCCTGATCTGGATTCTCCCTTGTACCATTTCATTCTTGCATACACATGGTAGTTAATTTTTTTATTTTTTACACGTTTATATTTTAAAAAAAATTATATAGCCCCCTAAAATTATTATTATCACTTAATTTTCTAAAATTGTGGCTCCGCTCCTATATACAATAACTCAGTTTGAATTAACGAATCTGTTATCACAGTTATAAATTTTTTGGATCTTGCACGTTTATTCACATAAGGTCCAAAATATAGACAAGTATTCTCTCCAGCGTTGAAAAGCTCCAGCACAAAATTCACTAGTTGAGATCGCATCATCACTAATGGGTTCCATTTATCAATTCATTCTCAACAACTCAATTATGTGCTGGAGCGCTAAAGAGGATCCTTGTCCCCAAAATATACCCATGCGCATCTTTTCATAGCACAAACATAGTTTTTTATAGTAAATTTTAGTAATTTTTTTGAATTTTTAAAGATCAATTAACACAAGTAATAATTTATTTATAATATTTAAGTTGTGATACTAATTATATTTTTAGCATATCAATGAACATTATACCGTTCTTAAAGTATTAGATATATGTAGATTATATTAATAAACAAAATAGATTGAATATTTTAAAGGTACGTTCAGCTGTATGGAATTAGAGTCTTAGAATTAAAATTTGTAAAATTTGAAAAAAATAATTAAAAAAATTGAACTAAACTTTTTCAAATTTTACCAATTAAATTCCAAACCTCTAATTCCATGCAGTCGAACATACTTAAAATAATTCTTAAAAATGATATATATATATTATAGCATAATACAACGAGGTGCATCGTGGTTCAGTAGTGAATAGAGTGAGCTACATCATGAGGTTTAAGGTTCAAACTACTCACACCAGTTGGTATGACCGGCCCGATTTGGAAGAAAAACGGCAATATTGCTTAGTTAGTGGGGGATTCATAGCGAACTGACCGGCTCAGTGATGAATTCCTAATCTCCGATTTTACACATAGTGAAAATTTTTACCGAATCCCAACTATGGACGTAAGTTGTTGCCGAACCACGTATAAATCGTTGCACTTGTCATAACAATATATGTATATAGATCAAAAGTTGATTCATTTATATCAATTACAAACAAGCTGAAGGCCATCCCACATTACTGCTTTGTCAACACATTGCTTGAACTTGGGACATTACACCCTTCAGTTGTTATAACTCCCACAGGCCATGATCCACATCTTTTTTTCTTTTTCTGGGCAAACAACAGGCCATCTCACAATACATTAGAATCGAAAACATCTCGCTGAGCGAGATTGAGAATTGAGCGGGATATGGACCAAAATAGCATCCTCAACCATATTGGTTTGAAAAAGTTTTGTCATAGCATGGCGATCTTATTGCCATATCTACTCACATGACTAGGATGAAACGGTGAAATCCTCACTTGAGACACCCAATGCCCACCCTCTTCATCATATTTCCGTTCATTCTCACTCAATACTCAATAGTCCTCCCAGTAAAAACACTACCTTTTTTGTTTCTAACCGAACTCGGACACTTCCTCTCTCTTATGAAAATGAGACATCATACCATCTAGACATTAGTTTATCGATGTGTTTTCACTACTTTGTGTTTTATGCCCAACTAGTTCGATTAACACACCCAAAAAGAAGTGGCCGTCTAGGTCCTAATATACACTCGATCATGAAAAAACTACTGGGAAAAAATTAAATCTTTATCAGCAATTTTGGTTGCTGAGAAAACAAGAATTAGTCAAGGAAACAGTAGTATTGGGAAACTTTATTGCTCGTAATGCTTCAGATTCAAATAATGGAAGTAAAAAATGAGCTACGCTGAACAACAATCTCAATCGAAACAGATGGTTCCATTTTCTCTGCCTCCAAACAACCATAGCAGACCCATGTTCAAAACCCATTTTCTCTTTCATCTTTTCCTCAATTATCTTGGCTACCAATTGAACTCTGAATGTGAAATTCATACCCAAAACCAGCTCATATTACACTGATCGATGCATAGGTATGATTTAAACCTGGTGTGTATATGTTGTGGAAGGTGACTGAGTCGATATGAGGATGCGTTTTGGAGTAGCGGACAAGGGGGGGGGGGGTGTGCTTTTGAGAGAGAGACAGAGAGAGTTTTTGGAGTTTTGGAGCAGAGATGAGTTTGTCCCACATCGATAAGGAGTGGGAGGGTTGGAGAGAGAGTGTGGCTATTTAATAAGCGGCTCAGTTTGTTTTGGAAAGTACGCAGCCGCGCGGTGAGCACAAAGCGAACTATTCTTTCGCCTTTTACTAAAGAATACCGTGTGCGCGCCGCAAACAGCGGCATACGCCAATTTTTGGAGGGATCTTCACTGTGAAGGTCCTCTACAATTATAAGTCAAAATTTTATTTTAGTTATTTGGAGGAAGGGATGGCACTATCTTTTCTCTGTTCAAGGGTGGATAATATCAAAAATTCGGAGGCAACCCCCTGACCGTTAAGTGGCTCTGACTGCTCCCAACAGTATAGTCACCACTTTTATAAACCACTTCTATAAAAGGAATGAAACTCCTGATGTGTATAAAACATATCGAAGCATTGATTATTATATATTTTTGGATTATGTGATCTACCAATTACAAATTGTTTTAACTCTTGTTGGGGAAGTGAAACCACATGGTCACATCAAATAATTTGAGCTTTGAATAGTGGTGTGACATGCCTCTTAAAAGTTAAAAGGGCATATGTAGGCCTTGTCAGCCCTTCGGCACCAAGAGTCCTTTAAAGAACGAGACATTCCCTATTTTATTCCACCAATGTCTTGTTGTTAATTGATTTATAGCATCAATGAAAATAAAAACAAATTGATTATAATTAACACTTATTATTCATCAATCTCAAGTATAAGGTTAATTTCTCAAGTTATATTAGGGGAAACTGTGTGCCAAAAGGACAAAATAAATATAGATTTTTATTTGGAGTCATTAATTTTAGGATGATCACGTTTTTTATTATGAAATCCTAAATCAAACTTATGTATATAATGTAAAGTGATTGAATTTTAAGATTGTTGTTACAAAATTTTAAATTGTTAACTTTTGCTGATATTAATTTTGTGATTTAATTCAAAACAAATCATGAAACTGAGTGAATATATAGAAAAAATCCAATACTATAATAGTTAACGATAACAATGTTAATTACTTAGGTTAGAAAGGAAGTTTGCTCAACTAGTTTGCATTTAGACATTTACTTACAAGTCACTACCCTTACAACAACTTTTATGGATGTGATGGATTGTTTTTTTTGGGTAAGTATCTATAGATGCGATGGATTACCTTAAAAATAATTTGTTAACCATTTAATTATGGATTTAGACAAAGGGGCGGAAACAAGAATTGAGATTCGGTTAAAAGTGGTCTGAAATTATTTTACTACATCTTTTCTTTTTTTTTTTTTTTTTGGGTAAAGTACACTAACACATACTCATGTTTGCTAAAAGGACACCCAAATAAAATTTAGCATATTTTGAAAGAAAGGCACCCCCTCAAGTTTGATGCAGATACCAAAGACACCCCAATGGTAACGAATTGACATTTTTGCCCTTTGACCTTTATATTGACCAATTTGAAGGTTGAAATTACATTTCTAACCTTTACTCACAAACCAATCCGTCCTTCTTCCTTCTCCCATCTTCGTCTTAAACACATTATTATTTTTTAAGTAATATAATAATTTTTGCAGCTTTATATGTATATCAAACTCCTCTCCACAATCCGTCGCCCACCATTGCAGTCGCTCCATCTCAGCCGACCTCGCGCGTTCCGAGCAAAGCCGCAGCCTCTACGCCGTGAGTCATTCACGGCCAAGTCAGCCGACTTCTCCACAGCCGTACCGAGCCCATCACTGTCCCGCCGTTCAGTCCCGTCGGCCGCCATCATCCGAAGCCGCAAGCTCACAGCCAAACTTGTCCACCGCCGCTGCCGCCACTTCACTGCCGGGCATAACCATTATAAGCACTGCCGATTCAATTCCAAGCTTGTCGACCGTTCCCCTCACCGGCCAACCTCTCCACAACCGACCCCTCCATCGCCTATCAAACCATCACGACTGAGCCCTTTACCGGCTGATCTCGCCGTAAACCACCCCATTACGGCTGAGTTCACACCACTGTCCGAAGCCTCTTTGTTCGCCGGCCCATGCTGCCATCTCCATAACGGAACCATCCATGGCCGAGCTATTCACCGTCGTTCCTCATCGACCTAATCCTTGCGTCGCCGTGAACTCTCTGCTCTCTGGTTGTGGATCGAGACAGTACTTGGTATTTGGCCATTACAACAAATTTATGTATATTATATATACACACACACACGTAATAATTTTTGCCGCCGCCGAGCAGAGCATCTCCACCATGGGTGGGTTCATCACTGCCAAGCAGATCACCTCCACGGCTCCACCATGGGTGGGTTCATCACTGCCTAGTAGAGCCTTGCCAGACAATTTCACTGTTGCGAGTAATATATATATATCGGTGTATAGAGAGAGAAAGGAGAAGGGCAATTAGGTCATTTAATTATTTTTGATATTTTACTATTAAAATTAATCAAATAATATAGGGCAAATTAGATTTTTCACACGTTTTTAGGCTCTGTTTGGCTGTTAAATATAACAAGGGGTGTCTTTGTTTTGAAACAAGCTAAGTTTCATTTATATGATCTTTTGACAAACCTGAAACGGGTGTTAGTGTACTTTACCCTCCTCTTTTTTCTTTATTTCTTTTTCTTTTCTATTTTTTCGATTTCGAAAGTTAGTTTTACTACTTTATTTGTCTGTATAAAAGAGTAATCGAGTCATTTCAAGGAGCAACTTCCAGTCATTTTATATTGCAAAGGTCTATAAATTAGATTAATACTATCCAATAAAATAAACAAACAAAGCAAGTAACAACTATAAATATAAAATATCCCGTCAATCTCATAAAGCTTTCCACCCAAGTCATCTTCTCTCTTCACTCACTGTCACTGCACCAAGAACGCCATGTAAAACCCAGATTCTCTAAAATTTTGCAAACCATCCGCTAAATCTATTCCGATCTAACCGTTAATTCACGAAATCCAAATACACAGACAAAAAAAAAAAAAAAAAACCCCTAATCCAGGATATGGAGGAGGCACTGGAGATGGCTCGTGCCAAGGACACGAAGGTGAGAATGGCGGGCGTGGAGCGTCTCCACCAACTTCTTGAGGCTTCTAGAAAGGGTCTGTCGTCTTCGGAGGTCACTTTGCTAGTCGATTGTTGCTTGGATCTCTTGAAGGACAACAATTTTAGGGTTTCTCAGGGGGCCTTACTGGCTCTCGCCTCCGCCGCTGCTCTCTCCGGCGACCACTTGAAGCTTCATTTCAATGCTTTAGTTCCTGCAATCGCCGATCGGTTAGGCGACACCAAACAGCCTGTTCGCGACGCGGCCAGGCGTCTTTTGCTCACTCTCATGGAGGTCACTCTCATTCTCTCTTTAGTGTATCGAAGTTGATCACACTTGAATTGTTTCTTTTTTATTTTCTTTCGAAGAACCTTACAAATTTTCATTGTCTGTTGCTAATATATTTGTTCTTTTCTGAATTCGGGGTAAATGAAATTGAATTTAATCATCCCCACTAGAAGAGTATATTCGATAATAATCTGCAATCCCCTGTCAGGACATCGCTATATTAGTATCAGTCTAGGAAATCCAGTACTGGTAAAGTCTATTGCTATATAAAACAGTCAAACTTTGGATATGGAATTGAATACTGATTTCTCAGTCAATTTCTTGAACCATATATATCCTATGATTTTGTTTGCTTTACTAATTCATGCCGATGGATGTTGGTTGTGTTTATTCGAGTCATGTTTGTTTAATTGAATTTACTGGTCAGTAATTTATGACTTCCGAGTTAATTGTTGTATATATATATTATAAATATATATTACTTATCAAAAAAATAAAAACTATATATATATATATTGCTTGCAAATGAAACACTAGAATGAGTGCAACCCCTTTTGTTGCGGAGCTACAAGTCATGGCATGGAGATGGATACGGGTACAACATGATGGATGTGCCGATACAAAAGACTCTAAAAATTGGGCACAGACATTTTGTGGACAACTGGACTGTGGACATGGATATATATATATATGCCAATCTATCGGTTTTTGTGTTTGTGTGTGTAGAAAATAACTCTTTAACATGATATGTTAAGTTGTTTTAACAAACAATCCTTTTTATGAATCTATAAAACATTCTAATCTTCAAACATATAATATTTAAATTCGCATGAAAAAAATCAAGTCATGTAGCATGGTATTGAACTTGAACAAGTTCAACCCAATTTACCCTTATGATACCTTAATCCTTCTTCTCTAAGAATATTTAAAGTATTTAAACTTTTTTTTTGGCTTTTCATAACAATATATTTCAACTAAGTATTAGAGAAGTTGCACCTCAATTTTTAAGACACGTTGAAAACATGTCTTGGAGTATCCAATAAATATGGACGCATTTTGAATTCATTAAGGAAGTATAGGAAATATACATGCGATTATTTGAGGAATGTTAGTATCGAATGTGAATACAATACAGGTGTAATTGCTGGCAGAGGACTGGAAGTATCTGTGATTCATAGTTGCCTATTCATGCCATAAATAAGAATTTTTTTTTTTTTAAACGTAAATAACAAACTATGTTGCACTTTGGTAGGGGGTTAAAAGCTTGGGATGATAAGGCTGAGCACACAATTTTGAGTACGAGAGTAGTCACTTTGTGCAAACAATGCCAAATATTAGGTCTATCTATAGCCTTCTCCTTCTAGCATTGTGTATGTGGGACCACACAGTAATGGCCTTTTATTGAAGTTTGACATGTAGTCAGGTATTAGATTTTAAGCTTTCCAGTAAGAGTAGGAGGATTTTATGCTTGGTGCTGATAAAGTAAACAAGTTAATTGTATTTGATGGTGTTGTTGATGAACAAATTATAGTCTTTTGCTTGCATTACCTCACTTCATACAGGCGTTTCTCAATACTCGACTGTTTAAAAAAGCCTAATTTAAGTGTTTTACTTTTCTTTTCCTCATTGTTGTTTACTGATATGTCATCCTCGCACCCAATGGTAAGTAAAATCATGCCTTTGTAGAGGTTCAAATACCAAACCACGAATCTACATGGTTGGTGCGACCGAGCGTGTGTACAAAATAATGCACAACACTTTAGGATTAGAAATAATGTCAAGTGGGCACCATATTTTATAATTTATAAAACCACTAAACACTTATACTATGGAGTATGAAGCGAGCAGGGATCTAATCCCAAGAGATCTAAAATATGTTGGTTTTTAGAATTGAATTTTACTTTAGTACTTATGTGATTGCTGAAAAGAGGTTTGTTTTGTGATTAGAACTAATTTTAATTTAAATACTTGCAACAAAAGAATAGGGTTCAAAAGATTGGGAAAGAGACTTAGGGTGTAGGATTCACTACTAAGCACATTCCCTAATTCACTAACTTACAACTAATTGCGAAAAATGAAATGTAATTCTAAATGAGGTTAACAATTGCAATGAAAAGTATGAAGCATCAATGTCAAGCCTAAATTGCCTACCCAATGACAATTAAACTAAGTGTAGTGCAATTCGCCAATTCAAAGCATAATCCATCAATTCAAGTTACAATTTAGCCTACATTAATCAAGAGGATAATGCAATTGAGACAAAAAGTATGTAATTCAAGCACAAGTATGAATGGTCTACTTACCTAGGAATTAAAGTGCAATTAACTAATTAAACTTAAATTAAACTAGTTAAGCATGAAATCAAAACTAATTAGACAATGAATTAACCTAAACATGTCGTGCTATCCATCAAGTATAAGCAATTTCCATCAAATCAAGACACAATTATATCTAATTAACACAATGTATAGCCATCACATGATTCAATTCACAAAGATATCAAGTGTAGAAATTAATTATCATTAAAAAATATAAGACAATATGAGATTGACATAGATAATCAAATGAAAGAATTAATTTATATATTTCAAGGCTCTAATATAAATTACATAAATAAATCCCCAATAGTCAAGAGTTAAGAATTAGGTTACATGCTTAGGGTTTATCCAACCCTAAGTTGAAGAATTTGCCGCTCATGATTGATGGACTCAAGGTGTCAACAAGTTCCATCATCTGCTTCATCATCTCTGAGCTTATTCTCAAAACCCTAATCTGTTTTTGCTTTTTCTTTCTTTCGCGTGTTTTTCCACAGAGAGAGCGTAAAAAAAACGATACAGAATAAAAAAACTTAAAAAAATAAATAAAAACTAACTATTAAAATAATGAAAAACTGACCCTAAAAATAATGGTTCACTGGGCCTTAAGTAACAAGCCTATTAGAGCCAAATAGGTTACAAAATAAGCCCAAATAAGTTAATCCCGTAACCAATAAAATAAGACGATCCTGTAATTGGTCTGCTGCCAGTAGCATGGCGTCCGGACGCAGCTTTTGGCGTTTTTTTGATTTCTTCTGAAATGTTCTGGAACTTTCTGCTTGTCTCCAAAATTGCGGTAATGGACCGATTTAAACCCGTTTGAACTTTATTGCCCTGAAATACACATAAACATAAATCAGGACTAAAACATAAAAAAAAGATAAATGCAAAGACTAAAATACCGTAGCTTAGGTGCTGAAATGTGCAACATTTAAGCACTTATCAATGGTACACACTGAAAGTCATGTTGCTTCATTTTAAGCTTAGGAGTTATGATGTCCTCACTTGGTTTTTGACCATTTAGGCAATATATCTTAATAGGAGGTGCTGCCCTCTTCCTCAATTAAGGTTGCTTATATTTGTTTGTTTCTAATGTCTCATAGGTGAAGATGTGCTCATTTTGTGTTAATAACACTGTGCAGAATTTTGTTTTTGGTTTTATTTTGATTGTATTTCCTGTCCTTATGCTTAGTCAGTCTACTTTATATTATAGGGTGAACATGTACTAGATCTTATGCCATTTTAAGAGAAGAAGTAAGGAAAAGAAACTCAAAATGGGTTACATAATAGTATGTGTACACAGGTTTCTTCACCAACTATCATTGTTGAAAGAGCAGGGTCCTATGCTTGGACACACAAAAGCTGGAGAGTTCGAGAAGAGTTTGCACGGACTGTTACATCAGCAATTGGTCTTTTTGCATCTACAGAGCTTCCTCTTCAACGTGCTATTCTTCCCCCTGTATGTTCATTTACTGCATGTTCAGTTATAGGAATATTTTTTATTGTATGATTTTTTCTCTCAATTCTTTTATGTAAAGAATTTGTATACTTACTTTAAATTTCTTTGATTATCAGACTTTGCAGATGTTGAATGATCCAAATTATAGTGTTAGGGAAGCGGCTATATTATGCATTGAGGTTTGTAGATTCACAATATAGTTGTTTGTATAGCATTTCCCCTAAAGCTTAGCTGCATTTTTCATTGAGCTTAATAAGTCCTGAACTGGATTCATTATATTTCATACCCTGTTAGCGTTGTTACAACTTTCTTGTCCTTTTACTGAATTTTAAATTTATAAGCTTTCATTTTAGCTTGAACAAGTTAAATTAGATAGGAATGCTAATGTGGGAGCTTTTAGAAGGGTGTGCTTCTCATCCTAAGAAACTTTTTTCAATTTTTAAGAGCCAGTTTTATCTCACAGGCTCATAGATTTCTCCTACCTAGTCCTTTCCAGCATAGTGCTTGAAGTATTGAAGGGAGTAACATCAGACTAGACCTAGGTTAAGTTACTTAAATAGAAGGTACACAGGAGTAAAATCAGAGTAGCCCTAAGTAAGTAACGTATAGAGAAGGTACACTGCAGCCCAAATTCATGGCCAAAGCTTGGCTCTAAAATTACAGTTTGCCCATGCTATACTGTTCACTCCAGCTAAACCTTATTTACTGAAAAAAGAACTGTTTGGAAGATTTGTTGCAGCTTTGAGGCATTTTAAATTACTGATATAACAATTTTATCATATTTCAACTATGAAATTAATTGGAAACCCTTGTTAAAATTTAGACATGCCCCTAAAATGGTAGATGAGGTCTGTACAGAAGTCAGTGAGCTTACCTTATTAAGATATATGGATGAGGTCTATAAGTTATTCTGATAATTTGTTGAAAACATAGTTGAGCATATGCACAGCTTTGAGCCTATGATGTTGAAGTTAATGCGTCTTATTAATTGATTGAAGAAATGGGATCATGTTTCTCGTGTTTCACCTGAACTGGGATATCTTAAAACAGCTGGTTGCAGTTATCCTTGATGTGCTGTTTTGAAAAAAAAAAAACTTATATTTGATTTATTCGTGATTTTATTTTATTTTTATATGATTCATGGTACTCTAGACTTCCTTAATCTGGTTCTCTAGAATTCCTTAATCTTTACTTTTAGTTTTTAATATATTTGTTTACTGATTTATTATATTGAATGATTATTGTTACTGATTTTGATGGCTTAACAGTGCTTGTATTGTACTATTTGAGATACCATCAGTAACTGTGTGTTATTATATCTTTTTACGAAGTCCAACCACGCATAAGAACTCTTGGGATTTTTGGTTAGCTATTAAGGCTTGTTTATTTGGGGGTTGACACCTGCTTATGTCGTCTCTTTTTCCCTTCTTAGGAGATGTATACCCAGATTGGGCCTCAGTTCCGAGATGAACTTCAGCGTCATCATATTCCTACATCAATGGTAATTGTATAGCTGTGAATAATTATATTTCGATCTGCCATTTCCTCCCCAATATCTCCTACTTCCTGCTACTGAAGGGAATTGAGTTTCTGATATTTACGAGTATCAGATTGTTTGCAATATTATAATAAATCCTCCACTCTTGTTGAGTTGATGCTATTACTCAATTGTCTTTCTTAAATGATATTGAGCTGCAGGTAAATGATATAAATGCTAGGCTAGAGAGTATAGAACCAAAAAATCACTCTTCAGATGGACTTGCAAGTAATTATGCCGCTGTTGAGATAAAGTCTTCCAATCCCAATCCCAAAAGGAGCAGTCCAAAGGCCAAGAGTTCTACACGTGAGGTGTCTCTTTTTGTAGGTTAGCATGCTTTAACTTCAAATTTTGTGGATATTTGACACATAATGTAAATTCATATGAAAAAGTTCTTTCTCACCATCTTCTATCATGTCATTGGCCTCTTTCCCATTCGCATGATAATTTGAATTCATCATCTTGGTAACTTTAGACAGTTAGCTTCTTGTCTTTGGGTCAGTTCGTGAATTGTTGAATCTGCATCAGGCTATGCCAAAAAGTATATTTATGATCTTCTTTATGGTTGGCATCCTGAAGTTAGGAGCAATGATTCTGCAGGATGTTGGAGATTTGTAGTGAATTTATAATCTATTTGGAAGGAACAGATGAACATCCAAGGGGAAGACTCTGTGCCTTGGATTGTCAGATGTTTATACAGTTGGCCTTATTTTTTTCTTGTTGTCAATTTGGGATGGGCCTTATTCATGACAAGGAAATTTTATCCAATAAATTCTGTGGATGGTTTGAAATTCTGTTCCATAACTATTGTTTCATATTTTGGTGGGTTTAGTCACTGCACTGTACTATAATGTTGCACCAAACTTTGTGACATTTGGATAATATTATAGTTTATGCTTAGATGCCGTAAAGAGTATGATTTCAATTATTTATTTGGTTTCCAGAGCTTTCTTTTGTTTTTCTAATTAATTCACTAGAGTGGGAACTGCAATTTTTTATTTTTTTTATTAGAAGTTATTTTTTACATACTTAATGGTTTAACTTGTGCCTCTATCACTTTATTTACTGGTCTGTTTTAGTTGTTGAAATTGGACGCCCTGTTTATCATTAAATATTCTATAATATTTGCACACTAGGTAATGTTTATTCTATAATTTTTGCAATTCAAATTTTTACATGCCAAATGGACTTGATGTATCTGAACTTTGTCTAAGCATTTTTGCTTAGAAATTGTAGATTGTATTGCTTTTATCTTTTGGCTTTTTGGAATTTGTGGTATTGTTGTCTCTGAATTTTTTTTTTTTTTCCTAGTTGATACTCACACACACACACACATCCCCCCCTCAAGGAATTGTTTGCACCCAAGAGGAGTCGAACCTTAGATGTGATGCTTCCTGAGGCACCAGGGCCAAATTCTTACCCACCCGAGCCAACCCCTGGGGTTGTCTATGAAGTTCTTTGAGTAATGCATAGTTTATATTGTTGTCAGTTTGAGTTTGTTCTTCTCTTGCGAGCATCCAGTATTGCCTTCTGACGTGTAATATTTCTCTCATTATTAGGGTTAAGGATTTAGCTCAACCATTTGACGGGCCTTGTTTATCAGGCCACTTTTACTAGATATCAATTGGTTTGATCGTTTCGACATCTGATTAAATCTATTAACTTAGTTAGATGGCAGGGAAAACTTTTGAGAAGTCTTGGGAAAAAAAAGTGAATTAGAATGCTAGATTTTTAAGAATATCTGATCAAACTGTACAATTGCATCAAATGGGAGCTATGAGGTGGTGAATTGTCATATTTCCCCCGTATTATGTGTTCACATAGCAAACTTATAGTTATTTGTGGAGGATATTTTAAAGATTTTAGTGGAGAGTTTCCATAACCCTATATGATCCTAGGTGGTTGTGAATTTATATTTTTTCTAAACATGTGTGTGTGAATTCATTCATAATGGTTGAAAGGAAGCATGCATTTAGATGATGGTTGGGAGTACTCAAATCAACACAACAAAGCCTTTTACCTGTTATTTGTGGTTCGTTAGATGAATTCTTGTTTCACTGTTCTGTTATATCAGATCCCATAATTTCAATTAAGTCATCCATTATCATACTATTTCCTATTATCTTAATCCAAATCAATTTTCGTCCTCCCTTCCCTTTAATGTGGACAATGTCACTCTTTCTCATTGACATAACTATTTGTTTTCATTGCACTTGGTTCTGTCTCAATTTATCTCTAGTTAGTGCCACTTTGAATTTTTTTTTTTTCCTTCCCTTTGGTAGGTAAGTTACACACACACACTCATGCACACACTCATTTGTCTCATCGAGCCCTAGAATCTTTTACCTTCTAGTTAGAATTGAGATACTCCTTGAGCTAAGGCCTTGGTGGTATTGGGTGCCACTTCCACCGCCTAATGAATGTATTTGTTTCTACTTTTATCCTTCTTGTCGTACTGCTTGTCCATCTCTCATCCGCACGTTGATTAAACTCATTTATGAATATATTTGTTAGATCCAATATTTTGTGTCATAAAATAGGGCTGGTCTAATAGTTATTTTATATAATTTTTCCTTCATTTTAGAGGTATTTGTTGATCACTAAATATGTCTGCAGCACTCCTTCACTTAACCCTTCACACTTCAATTCCTTTTATGAGTAACATCACCTCCTATGTCCTCCTCCTGAATAACAAATCCTAAATGAAGAAACTACTTGTATTTTGGATCTATTGACTATCGATTTCACTACATCCCTTCCTTGAAAATATGCCTGAAATATATGAACTCTGGCTGTTACTTTGTGAATTTCGATTCAGCATTTTTGGTCGTTGAATGATGTTTGAAATTTATTATAATTCCATTCAAAATTGATGATACTGCAATTGTATTTGTTATTGGTGTTTGCTTTGTTCTCTTTGCTGTGCAGGAGACAGTGATGTCACTGAGAAACCAATTGACCCAATAAAAGTGTACTCAGAAAAGGAGTTAATAAGGGAGTTTGAGAAAATTGCTTTAACTCTTGTACCAGAAAAAGATTGGTCTATTCGCATTGATGCCATGCAGAGAGTTGAAGGTCTTGTTGTCGGAGGTTTGTTTGCCTGTCCCCTCTCCTTTAATTTAATATAATATGAAATTGATGTTTTTATACTGTGTGAGTGGCTTGTGATCTTTTAATAAGATTTACTTGTTCATTGTGCTTTCCTGGAAAAAATAAAATTTGAAAATGGGAAATCATGAGTCGAAAGAGCTGTAAAATGTGGATGAAGCATTAGAGCGAGATGGATATGGGTTTAGTTTCAAAATGTATTTGAAAACCGAGACTGTGTTAATCTGTTAGAGAAATAATGGTGGCAAGAATGCTTTTAATACCAGAAGGGGACAAGCATGCTTTGTGTTGTTTAAAGTGGTGGGTGAATAGATGGTTTTGTGCTTCATAAGGTAAATTCAACAGAAAGCCGGGAAATGCAAAATGAAACTGACTAATGTGGAAGTTTTTTTGCCAGTGCTGATCATGGCACTTGTTAGGCATTTTTAGTCATTCTGTATTATTGAAAGGTTGTCATAGACTATATGCAAGATTATTTATCTTATGCTTACACAATTATATGCCAATGTTTGTTATCTACTACTGGTTTTCTTGATACAACTATGTCCAAGTTGTAGTTCGGTACAAGCTTACCAGGCTGTGGAATATTTCTTCCCCCCAAAATACGTTTCTAGAAAAAAATTCCCCCATCCGTCCTTTTGTTTGATTCAGTGCATTTTTTGGAATCCTCCATGACTTTTGAAATGGATTTAATAGAGGAGGAAGACAAGTACCTTTACCATACCCTTACTGAAATTACTCATCACGACTTCATAGTCTCCACAAGCTGCCTGTTTCAATCTCGGACATGTTGCTCAGTAGTTTCAGAAAGGCAAATGGCTGTCCCTAGTGCTGTTCCATCCTATGCGGGGTGCTGGGAGGGGTCATTGCTTGTTATGGTGGTAAACTTTCAGGCTGTTAAGCATCAGAATGCTGGTTCAAGACTGTGGGCATCCATTTTGACCGAACTATTCTAACGTTAGGTCTGGACCCCTCACAGCACCCCGCCAAGACCAGCACTTAACAATGGTCCTAAAAAATAGCTTTAAAGCCCTGATACTGGGTTAAAATCCCTCCAGAAAGATACCCACCCTTGCTTTTCAAAAAGCACATGCAGAGTCTCAATTATAATTTTAGTCAAGAATGCAGTGGTTTGATAATTGGAGAAAACCCCTGTAGCTTTCCATTTACCATGGTGGTGAAGGAAGCAAATGTGATACACTCAGAAAGTTATTCTGTCTCACTCAACATGTATGGGAAAACTGGGTTGTATGTGGTTGCTTCTTTCCTGTTCATGCATGGACTATTTCCAAGTGACTCACTTGTTATCTTGTCCTTACCACAAGTTAGTTTCCTTGGTTAACAATAATTTTAGGTCTGCCAATAGCTGTGGGTTCTTTAATTTTCGTTCTTCCCCATAGAGGAAATTGGGTAATTAGGTGGTATACTATTTGTGTATGCTAGAACTCCTAACAACCTATGCATTCTGTTATCATTTCCAGTCAGACGATACATTAATCCAACTAGTGGAGAATTATAAATGGATCAAATTTATTTATTTATTATTTATTTCCATTGGAGATTAGGAATAGATGGACTTTCGATAGGACCCATTGAGTTTCTTAGATCTCAAACCTAATTATTTAATTGCATCCTTTTGAGGCGTCATTTTCTGTTATATGTCCTTCTGATGTACCCTTTATCCAGTTACCTTATTTGATACATAAAACCCTCCTCTTGCAGAGAGAATAAGAAACGAATGAAAGTATAAATATTCCGTGTCTCTGAGGATTACCTATGTGCAAAGGCTCAGTTAAGCACAACAGTTGATGACTCAAAACCTTAAATAAAATTTTTCCCCCACCATCACACCGCTTACATGCTCACTGGTTTATTCAATGACAAAGGGTATGGTGGAAAGTTGAGAAAACTTCATCTGTTGGTTTCGAACAAAGGATTGATAGTATTGGGCATCAAAAAGATAGGCCACCATTTGTGGGATGACGGGAACTGAAAAAGGCTAATGAACCATAGGGTTATTTTGTAAAATAAGAAGAAAAAAACTAAAGATTCACTTATCTCGTGCTTCCCATGCAATCTAGTGAATAATCTTATAAAGCTGGGTTTTCTAAATTTTTTTTTTGATACTAAAACTTTGTTATATTTGTATTCCTTGTACTAGTAATACACCTAGAAGGTCTTGAGTATGGAAGTAATTTAATTTCTTTGCCTGATCTGTGAAAGTTGCTTTTGTTTTTAATTTTCTAACCATTGCACGGCTGTGTATTTGCTTGTGTTCAGAATGGAAAATTACAATTGTGACACTTCATGTTCTTTTTAGAGTAGTAGAATATGACACGGGGCTTGTAAACGTGCTCTCTAACTATATATGGGAAGGGATATCATTGTATCTGCCATCATCTATATCATCCTTTCAGGTGCAGCTGATTACCCATGCTTCCGTGGACTTCTGAAGCAACTTGTTGGCCCTCTTAGCACACAATTGTCAGACCGAAGATCTAGCATAGTGAAGCAGGTGTGGTTAGCAATATTTTTAATATTTAAATTCCGAATGTTGGTTGAAAGATATTTCTTCTTTTGGATATATATATATATATATTTGGGGGGGGGGGGGGGGGGGGGGGGGGGGGGGGCGGTGGAGGTGGGAGGATAAGATCCACCAATGGTAAATTGCAGCTCCATTTGATTTCTCTAATTACTTTGTTTCCTTTTTGATGTCTTAAGCAGCTTAATTTTGGGTTTGCTAAAATGTTTCTTTGGACATTTTAATTTATCTTTTCCAAATTGTGTCAATGATGTTTTTATTAATTGTTTTTTCTTAGTTTGTCTAATACTGTTTCAAGTATTTATTTGTTTAGTTTGGAAATTCATCTTAGATTTTTATTCAAAATTGTATATATCAAAACACTAGTATACACCAATATGACAAACACTTTACTATTGTTATAGCTGTCAGTAAATATGTGAAGGAAGCCTGATTGGTCTTATGGATCATGGATGTAGAGAACCCAGAGGATTATCTGCTAGCAATATGTTTAATTCTTTCAATGGAAACTCCTAATTGTTTGAAAATTTGACGGCATCTCCACATCATACCACCCAAGCAACCATAGGATATGTCAGGGTGTGTGCCTGTTGAAGTGACTTTTTGGTCGAATATACCAAGGCAAAGATTATTTTTGACGAAAATTGACTATCGGATATTGCATATTCAAACCACATATGGAGATATGGTACCATGTGGTCAAAGCGTGTGTGGTGCAAGCAGCCTTAATGGAAACAGTCCTTGCTCACCTGTTGAAGTCTAAGGTAACACATGGCAATTGTGTGGCTGATGTTATGAAGGTGTGTCCCATACTATGATTAAGAGGAGCATGAAATCATGGAGGTACGTCCATGTGCAGGAGAAGAACAAAGAATCATCCTTCTGGAAAGTTTCAAGTAGCCAGCTGATGAGGGGATATTTATGTCTTTATGATGGTGCCATGTGGTGAGATGCAAAGTCTCCTGTAGGCTGCCACTTCAGAGACATGTGGGGACTGGAGAGGTGGGGTTAGATATCCACCAAAAGATGTCCTTCATGTTCAATCTTGTTACTTAGAATGGAAGATAATAGATTATAACAAAAACTTATCCCTAGAAGTAGTTATAAATGTATAATCTGAAACGAAGCCCATAACAAGGATTCATAGAATGCCAACATCTCATTAGAATTTGAAGCTTGCCAAGTCTCAAGAATAGTAATAATTTGAAATCATCTGTTCCGAGGATCCTCTATTTTGGAGCCTTATGGCTATACATGTACCATCCATTAAATAAAGGTCGCCTCCTTTGCATGGTTGCAATTTCTTCTATTTTTTTGTTATCTTCCCCCTTCGAACCCTCAAATTTTTGTTTCTTAGTAGGAAACCCATAAATGCTTCTGTTCTGAGTACCTCAACTATGATAGTATATTGACCAAGTTGAACTAGCAAATCCTTTAAGTAACTACTTTAAATGGCTAGCCCAATGCATGAGGTTCTTGCCATTGCGGGGCCTACAGAGGATCAATTTTACGCAGCCTTCTCTCCGGATACTCTGAGGCTGGTTCCCATTTCAGACAACCTCTAGGTCAAAATGGAGTAACCTTACCGTTATGCCAAGGCCCACTCTCCCTTAATCCATTACAAGCATCTTCTATGCATACACCATTAAATTCTTGACAATCTCATCTTTTTTTCACAAACTAAATAATGTCAAGATTCTTCTGCCTCATCTTCTTATGTTTTTTCATGCACCTTCCATAGAACGTCAATAAATTTCTAACCGTAAATCGAATTTTTTAAAGGTAAACGCGGTTGGAATCGTATCGTCCGTGCCTATCCATCTATGACTATTTTCGAAGTAGTCTCTTCTGATATAAATCGCCACTGAACAAGTTGCTACTGCTGCCTCATCTTCTAATGTTTTTTCATGCACCTTTCATAAATCGTCAATAACTTTCTAACCATAACTCAGAATTTTTAAGGGCTGGTGCAGTTGGAATAGTATCGTTCGTGCCTATCCAACTCTGACTATTTTCGAAGCAGGCTCTTCTGATATAAATAATCTGTGAACAAGTTGCTAATGCTGCCTCATATTCTGATGTTTCTTCGTGCGCCTTTTATATAAACTTCAATAAATTTTAAATGTAACTCGGAATTTTTAAATCGTATCATCCGTGCCTATCCATGTGACTATTTTTGAAGGAGGTTATTCTGATATAAATCGTCACTCCACAAGTTGCTACTGCTGCTTCATGTTCTGATGTATTTTTGTGCACCTTTTATGAAACGTCAATAACTTTCTAACCGTAACATGGAATTTATAATGGCCGGCGTGGTTAGAATCGTATTGTCCGTGCCTATCCAACTTTGACTATTTTTGAAGCAGGTTCTTTTGATATAAATCGTCACTGAACAAGTTGCAACTGCTGCCTCATCTTGTGATGTTTTTTCGTGCACCTTTCGTAAAATGCTCGGAATTTTAAAGGCCTGCGTGGTTAGAATCACATCGTCCGTGCCTATCCAACTGTGACTATTTTCGAAGCAGGTTCTTCTAATATAAATCGTTAATGAACAAGTTGCTAATGCTGCATCATCTTCTGATGCTTCTTCGTGCACCTTTTATATAATGTCAATAACTTTCTATCCACAACTCGTAATTTTTAAAGGCCGGCGCGGTTGGAAACGTATCATTCATGCCAATCGTAACTATTTTCGAAGAAGGTTCTTTTGATATAAATCGTCAGTGAACAAGTTGGTAATGCTATCTTCTGAAAACGTCAATCACTTTCTAATCGTAACTAGGAATTTTTAAACGGTGGTGCCGTTGGAATCGTATCGTCTGTGCCTATCCAACTGTAATAATTTTTAAGCAGGTTCTTCTTATATAAATTGTCTGCGAACAAGTTGCTACTGTTGTCTCATCTTTTAATGTTTTTTCATGCACCTTTGTATAAACGTCGACAACTTTATACCCGTAACACAAAGTTATAAAGGCTGGCACAACTAGAATCGTATCGTCCTTGCCTATCCAACTGTGACTATTTTCGAAGCAGGTTCTTCTGATATAAATCGTTACTCAACAAGTTGCTACTGCTTCCTCATTTCTTGATGTTTTTTCGTGCACCTTTCATAAAATGTCAATAAATTTCTAACATAACTCAGAATTTTTAAAGAACGGCGTGGTTGGAATCTTATCATCTGTGCCTATCCAACTGTGACTATTTTCCAAGCAGGTTATTTTTGATATAAATCGTCACTCAACAAGTTGCTAATGCTGCCTCATCATCTGATGTTTTTTCGTGCACCTTTCATAAAACATCAATAACTTTCTAACCGTAACACGAAAGTTATAAAGTCCAGCGCGGTTGGAAACATATCATCCATGCCTATCCAACTGTGACTATTTTTGAAGCAGGTTATTTTGATATAAATCGTCACTGAACAAGTTGCTACTGCTGCCTCATGTTCTAATGTTTTTTCGTGCACCTTTCATAAAATGTTAATTACTTTCTAAGCTTATTGAGTATTTTTTTTTTTTTTTGGCCTAGGCTTGCCACTTATTAAATTTTTTATCTAAAGAGCTTTTGGCAGATTTCGAGGCATGTGCTGAGACATTCATTCCTGTAAGTACAACATTATCTTGCTTATTATTTTCTAAATTTGCTCAAATATTCTTCTGACTATGGTCTGACTTTCAGGTCCTTTTCAAGCTTGTTGTGATAACTGTACTTGTAATTGCAGAGTCTGCAGATAATTGCATAAAAACAGTAATGTTTTGCATGTCGCTCATTGTGTATTTTTTTATTCTTTGTTTTGCATGTCGCTCATTGTGTATTTTTTTTATTCTTTTGAATCTCTTAATTCATTTTGTAACCTATTTGAATTTTCAGATGTTGCGTAACTGCAAGGTTGGCCGTGTCATACCTCGTATTGCTGATTGTGCAAAGAATGACCGCAATGCTCTTCTTCGTGCAAGGTATGATTACGCTTCTTCTTTATGTACATTTGAGTGCATGACATTGTTTCAATCACTATTTCTTCTCTTGGATTGCAGGTGTTGTGAGTATGCAGTTTTGATACTAGAATATTGGGCTGATGCACCCGAAATACAGCGTTCAGCCAATCTCTATGAAGACCTTATAAAATGTTGTGTTGGAGATGCAATGAGTGAGGTATTGATGATTTTATGTTGGAGATTCTGTCTTGTGTCTGGCATGTTAGTTATAATCACAATCACCACTTTCACAGTGAGGTTCTTTACGTGGACAGATATTTGGATGTACATTTGTTTGTGTTCTCAATTATCTGAAGCTCAATTTAGCTGTCATTTTTAGTACCAAGTAATGTTCCAATTCTGCTCCTTCAGATATGCTTCTAAAAGAAGGGTAACCTCATAGTAGTGGTGATTCTTGCTTTACTTATCATTGTAGCTTTGCCTCAGAAAGAAACTTTGATCTTAAATTCTTGGTAGCACAAAAAGGGGAAATAGCGTGCTCTTATGATCCTCATATGAAATGGAACATTGAGATGAAGCTGAAATATGTTTCATCCTGTATGTTTGCGTGTACCACCGCGATCCTCAAGGCTAGGATAGGAATGCATTGTGGATTCTAAACACAGATCCATCCCGGGTTGCCTCTTCCTTTTCAGCACTTAAATAGCTCCCTGTGAACTGTACAATATTGAATATTACATCGCAGCAGCAAATAATGGCTTGTATGTACACCTTTAAGCGTGGCTGTTTAATTTTGAATTTGATATTGATATAGTGGTTCAATATGTTGATTTGGATGCTATACACAATTTACGATTTGTTGACTGAAACCCTTTTCATGCTTAATTCTATTTGTTGAAATCAAAATTTTAATATAGTAAATATACTGTTATAATTTTTTATTATAGAAAATGCTACAAATGATTGACGATGTAGACAGATTTGTTTGAACATTTATTTTCTGAGAAATTGGTATCTTTTCTTAAAATGAAGTTAAGATTCTCTTTGGTGGGTTCTCAAAATGGAATTTGTAAAATTTTCATAATCAGAATTGACCTCGTTTAAATCTCTCTCAATGAATGTGCATTTCTAAATTATATGATGTTGTTATTACCGTGTGAAACAGAACTGTTATTCTGAAAAGGATTCTATCAATATTCTTAGCAAGAAACCATGATTCTGTGCATACTTGTGTGTGCCCATGCGCCCATGCATGTGTGCTTTTGCTAGACAATAAATATTAAAGTTGCAAACTGATGAGTTAGTATGCATAGTTTCTGGTTCTGTCTACACTTGTGACAGCCAAGTAAGTAAAAGTGCTAATTATTTATTGAAAAATGGGGGAAGAAAATGGATATGTTGCTGATAAATTATTTAACTTATCAAAAAAAAAAAAAATTTGGAGCTGAAGGATTCTGGTGTGGTGGCTTCACCGCATGTAGAAACTGAGTACTTTGGTGTAGTGTCGTCACCACAGGTACAAATCTAGGATTCTCTCTTGATGAAGGAATTTCCTTAATTAACTTTTATGAGAGATATAATATTAGATGAAAGCCTTCAAATAGGCTAAACCACATGATACTTCCTATTTCTCATAAAAGTAAGGTTTTATTCAGATACATCTCTAGTCACAACGAGTTTCAAAGGATGTAGAACTTATTTCTCTTTATGTTGTAATACTCTACTGCAGTCGTTTTCAATTTGTCTGGTCACTCACAAGCTTATCTAAGATACATTAAAGTTGTGGTTTATTGTCACTAGTCTGCAGCTATTCTGCAACAATGATCATACAAATCCTATCAGGATATCTGTTTTTCTTTGCTCTCTCTCTCTCTCTCTCATTTATTTTGGGTCTGGTTTTATTACCTGGTGGAAAGTCTTTATTTGTGTTTCCTTTTTCTTTATTAACTTTGTGCCAATTGTTTGGTTCTTTAAAACTTTGATATATATATTTTTTCCTATCAAATCTTATATAGCATGGTTAGCCTTTATGGTAAATAAGTGACCATTAGAAAAATGGAGGTAAGTGTGCATGTTAATTCTGTGGAGGTACCTGGAGTTAGAAAAGTGGGTTTTGTGTCTAGGGAGAAATTTGACTAGTGTGGTTCTTAATGCATTCACTAATCATGGAGTTTTTTTATTATTAATCTATATCCATCTGTCTTATAAATATATATGCTTGCCTCCTCGCTGGTGAGGAGGAACCTCCTTCACACCCCATTGATGTGGCACAATGATGGAATGGCACGTGTCCATTTTAAAATATAAAATATGTAGAGAAACAAATAAATAAAAATCTAAACTTTCCATCTCCTATATTTAAAATTCAAAAAAGATGTTTGTCATTCTATTATTGTGCTACATCAGTGGTGTGGAGGTGGTTCCTCCTCACCAGTGAGGAGACAAGTATTGTTCATCGGTAATTGTCAAGTAACGTTATTGTTAGCAAATATGATAGCTACGATATATGGAATGACTTACCATATTAGCGGAGATTTGATCGCCACGAATCATGGCATAAAATATGCTGTGATTTGATTTAATTTTCTTTCTTGTAATATGAGCATGTGGTCTTTTTATCTATAAATAGTAGAGCCAATTGAGTGATTTATCTCATTCAAACTTTTATACAATTCTCTCATTTTTCTTCTTTTTATATTTCTACTTGGTATCAGAGCCAATGTGGTCCGATTACAATGAGTGTGAGTTCGGCACCACCCATTCAGGGATGGTCTAAGGTGACATCGTCCATCCGGGAGGTGCTAGGTAGGTAGGGTGGTCCGACCTCAATGAAGGTGTTGCGAGTTTGGCACCACCTATTTAGAAATGGTCTGAGGAGACATTGTTGATTCTTTTATCTACATTGTTTAAACATATGTATGAAGGAGAATGGTCTGAGTAGACATTGTTGATTCTTCCGTCTACATGTTTTAAACATTTGTATGAAGGGAAATGGTTCGAGGAGACATTGTTGGTTATTTACGGTATGAGGAGACATAATTGGTTGTTTACAATATGAGGAGACATTGTTGATTGTTTATGGTTTGAGGAGACATTTTTGATTTGTTGATCGGCACTTCATTTGAGAGAAAATCATCGCTAGTTAGATTTGCACTCTGCGACTTGCAGATTCTGAAGAAGGGTGCTAGCAAGACCGTGTTTGAAGATGCATTGTCCAAGTTGGGCGTCTCAGATATTCATGCACTAACTTGAGGGGGAGTGTTAGCAGATATGGTAGCCACGATTTATGAATTGACTTACTATATTAGCAGAGATTTGATAGCCACGAATCATGGCATGTTCTATGCTGTGATTTGATTTAGATTTGATTTAATTTCTTTTCTTATAATATGAGCATGTGCTCTTTTTATCTATAAATAGTATAGGTGTGAATGAGTGATTTATCTCATTCAAGCCTTTACACAATTCTCTCATTTTTTTTTTTCTTTTTATATTTCGACTGTTTATATATATATATATATATATATATGAAACATGCCCTTTGCTGCTGGACATGTCTTTAGAATTTCTTCCACAATTGATAGAGACATCAAACTCAACAGGTGCGATCAACTGCAAGAACGTGCTACAGAATGTTTGCAAAAACTTGGCCCGAGCGTTCCCGGAGATTGTTTTCATCCTTTGATCCTGTCATTCAAAGGGTATATATTTCTCTTTTATTCAAAAACTCTTTTCCTTTAACACCCCCATTGAAAAACACAAACACCAACAAAAAATAAATAGAAAAAGAAAGGAGAAAAATCTGTTGGTGTCACTGTTGAAATATTAAATTAATGCTGTCATGTTTGTGTAGATAATAAAAGATGAAGATGGGAGTATGCATAGACGACATGCTTCTCCTTCCCTTCATGAGAGAAGTTCAATGCCTTTCACCCCTCAAACATCTGCTTCGAATCTACCTGGACATGGAACTTCAGCTATAGTTGCCGTGGACAGAAGTGCAAACTTATCTTCTGGGAAATCTCTCCCTTCTGGGCTACTTTTATCACAGGGAAAGCCAGTTAGTAAAGGCACAGAGCGTAGTCTGGAAAGCATGCTGCATTCAAGCAAACAGAAGGTTTCAGCTATTGAAAGCATGCTTAGAGGTCTGGATGTATCTGAGAAACACAATACTTCAACTCTACGATCATCTAGTTTGGATCTAGGTATTCAGTTTTTTCTCAATTAAATTATTCCCACGATATCATTTAGAGCATCTTCTTTTAAAGTAATCCATTGATGCAATGGTGAAGTATCGTTTGAATGATCAATGAGTTAAAAATTGAACTGTATTTGTCTTCTGAAACTCTCGTGAACAGTGAAATTTGCTCTTATTTTCCCTAGTGCAGGAGTTGACCCTCCATCATCTCGTGATCCACCATTCCCTCTTGCCGTTCCTTCTTCCAGTAATCTCACAAACTCTTTAGCGGTAGATACAACTACATCTGATATGTCTCGAGGCAATAAGCGTAATGGTGGCTCGATATTGTCTGACGTCATCACTCAGATTCAGGCTTCCAAGGAAACCAGTAAATTATCATATCATAGTAATGTGGGAACTGAAAAACTAAAAGAAAGGGGTTCTGTTGAAGAGAACACTGATGCTAGGGAGGCCAGACGATTTGTTAACTTGCATATTGATAGGCAATACATGGACACACCATATAAGGATGCAAATTTCAGGGGTTCGCAGAGTAGTTGCATTCCCAATTTTCAGAGGCCACTGTTGAGAAAAAATGTTACTGGACGAATGTCTGTGGGCAGGAGGAGTATTGACAACAGCCAGCTGTCAGTCGGGGAGATGTCTTGCTACGTGGATGGTCCAACTTCTCTTAATGATGCTTTGAGTGAGGGACTCAGTCCAAGTTCGGACTGGAATGCTAGAGTTGCCGCATTTAATTATCTCCATTCCTTGCTGCAGCAAGGTCCAAAAGGTATTCAAGAAGTTACACAGAGTTTTGAGAAGGTAATGAAGTTGTTTTTCCGGCACCTGGATGATCCCCACCACAAAGTTGCCCAGGCAGCTCTTTCAACACTTACAGATATTATTCCAGCTTGCCAGAAGCCCTTTGAAAGTTATATGGAGAGGATCTTACCTCATGTTTTCTCGAGGTTAATAGATCCAAAGGAATTAGTAAGGCAACCTTGCTCAACAACTTTGGAAATTGTTAGCAAATTTTATGGTATAGATTCTCTTTTACCAGCTTTGCTTCGTTCACTAGATGAACAACGGTCGCCAAAGGCAAAATTGGCTGTTATTGAGTTTGCCATTAGTTCCTTCAACAAGCACTCACTGAACTCCGAAGGCTCTGGTAATATTGGCATTTTAAAGTTATGGCTTGCTAAATTGACGCCATTGGTCCATGATAAGAATACAAAACTGAAGGAAGCAGCTATTACATGCATTATATCAGTTTACACCCACTTTGATTCTGTGGCAGTCCTAAATTTTATTCTTAGTTTATCTGTTGAAGAACAAAATTCCTTGAGACGAGCCCTTAAGCAATACACACCTCGAATAGAAGTGGACTTGATGAACTATTTGCAGAACAAAAAAGAGAGACAGCGTCCTAAGTCCTCTTATGACCCATCCGATGCTGTGGGAACATCTTCTGAAGAAGGATATATTGGAATGCCAAAGAGAAGTCACTTCCTTGGAAGGTATTCTGCGGGTTCCCTTGATAGTGATGGTGGCAGGAAGTGGAGTTCTGCACAAGTGTCAAATCAGATCACTGGTTATAGTGGTCAAGCTGTGTCCGTTGAAACTCAGGACCATTTGCATCAGAGTGTTGGGACTGGTTCCAACGGTGAGTCTCTCAATTCCAATACCAATGATCTGAGGTACATGGCTAATACCAAAAGTGAAAATGTGGGATCCTGGACTAGGCACCTAGAAACAATCGACAGCGGTTTAAACATGGAGACCTCTTCTACACCACGTTTTGATATCAATGGACCTATGAGCTCTGACCTCCAAGGGGTTACTTCAGGCTTTAGACTTGATAATGAGGTTCCACCTGAACCGGAGGTTAATCACTCAAACCTAACAGCTTTAAAGATCATCGCTGCTGCAGATACAGGACTAAGCATTCCTCAAATTCTTCATCTGGTATGTTTTGTATGTGTTTAATGCATTGTCTCCTTCTGTTTAGTTTATGATGTCAATTTTGAAAAGTTTTCAGAACTTTAGGATATCTATGAAAAGATGCAATCATTTTGCTTTGACATTTTGAATGGGACATGAATTTTGGAACAACCAAAAATGGAAAGAGGGAAAAGTATTTTGGGATAGGAGTATGTGTGTGCATATATGCATGCTACAATCTCATTTTACATAATCATGAATCATATTTTCCATTTTGCTCTATCTAAAGCCATAGCCTAATCATAGCATACGTTACATTACTATTTTTTTCCTTACTAGCTCTACGCATGTTAATTTTGGTCTTCCTGTCCCCCTACCACTACCCTCAATGCAGACCATATTAATCTTCTTAACTTGTGCATTTAGTGGTATTCTTTGCCCATGCCTGAAAATTTGAAGTCTTAAATTTACATGCAATTGTAGGAATGCACATTTATGTACTATATTTGAAACATATGCACAATTGCATATGTATGCTCATAGACTTGGTATACGTCTCTTGTCTGCCCTAACCTGACCCAAATTCAGTTTTTTTTTTTCCTTCTTCTTTCACCCCAGGCCTGACCCAAGGTCTAAATAGGACTGTCCAGGCCCGATCGAACTTCGGGTTGGGTTGGGCCATCTCAACATAGCTGCAGTCAACCTTGATGCTTGATCAAATTTCATAAGCTGAATTAATTTGTATTTACTTGTGTTATACAAGAAAATGCAGATATCATTGCAAGTCATGAGGGTTCCTGACCCTATTTTCTTTTATTTTTGGTTAGATTTGCAGTGGGGATGATGAAAGCCCAACTGCAAGCAAGTGTGATGCACTTAAGCTGTTAATTGAAGCTTCTGTGGCAAATGATCAATCCATCTGGACCAAGGTATCATAACTCTCTTTGAATCGTGTATGTGGTGGGAAGTCTCTCTTGTTCTGGTTGAATAGATCTTAAATTTTTCCTTCTTTAAGCTTCTTTAATTATTTTTACTGTTGATTCCTTACCAAGTATGTAATCAATTTCTCAGATTGCTTTTTTATTTTATTTCAATAACTGCTCAAGGAGTTCCTTATGGAGATTTAATTTGTAATTCTCCGGCAATGAGCATCAACTTTCTAATGCATTTATGGATTCGATGGGGCAATCTTTGAACAACTTCTCTCTCAGCTACTATTGTTCTAATCAATGGTATTCTCAAGAGTTGTCCATGATATCTGAGTGACAATAAGTTCAGAATCTGTTGCACCTGTTGTTGAGTTCTTGAGAATTTTAATTTTCGTTAGGGTATTTTGTTTCAACTAGGGAAAACAATTTATAAACTCCCGTTTGGTGTTTTGGTCATCAATCCATTCCTTGATATCTTTCTGCTTTGAGCTTTCTAGAAATTGAGACTGGTATCATACAGAACCCATTGTAACTGCCCTAATAACTGTAGTCCTACTTCCAGAACCCCATCAAGTTCCTACTAAAGTAGTGCTAGTTTGCTGTAACCCTTTCCTCATTGTAACAGAGGATAAATATCCAAAAATAATTTAGAATTACAACTGTAAAAGGTGAAGTTGGGAGTTTAAGAGATTTAGAGCTAATATGGCAACATTTATCAAAAAGTAGGGCTTGATAGTCTTTTTGAAAATTGGTAGGACTTCTTGGTCATTAGAAGGACTTTATCGATAATTTTCCCTTGAAATTATATATCCGTATCTAATGTTTGGTATATTTTCAGTACTTCAATCAGATTTTGATGGCCATGCTTCATGTTTTGGATGATTCTGAGTCTTCAGTCAGAGAACTTGCTCTTTCATTGACAGTTGAAATGCTAAAGAATCAGGTCTGGGATTTTTTATCTTATTGTTAGGCCAAATAGAAAAAATCTGGGATAATCTATTAGCATTACACAAGTTTTTTACCTCTCAAAATAGCATTTTTATTCTTCCCTTATGGTCTACGTGATTTTTCTGTGTTCTCTCCAGAAAGATGGCATGGAGGATTCTGTGGAGATTGTAACTGAAAAACTTCTTCATGTTTCAAAGGATATTCTTCCCAAAGTAACGTTTTTTAACTGAACTAATTATTCAATTTTTTCTCCTGTCTCATATATTCATTTTCCAACCCAGGTTGCAAATGAAGCAGAATATTGCTTGAATATTGTCTTATCTCAATATGATTCATTCAGATGTCTAAATGTAGGTGATTCTGAAATTTTAAGTTGCTTCTCAAGATCCCTAAAATACGTGTTTGGCTTTAATTTCCCTTATGTGCATGTGTCTTATAATTTTCTTATTTACTGGTATTGCAGGTTATTGTCCCCTTATTGGTTACTGAAGACGAGAAAAGTCTTGTTACATGTATAAACTGTTTAACAAAGGTAATTTTAGATATCTGTTTGAGCTTGATACACATTGTTGGGGAAATTCCTTAATAGCATAGGCTTTTGGCACAAGTGGTATTCTAACATGTTATTGAAGAGTTGGTTCTGTGAGATCTTGATTCAAGTCCCCACGACTCCAACTCTTCATTTTTTCTCCCATCTTGTTTCTCTGTCTGTCTGCTTGCGTCCCCAGTTGCGAGATGGGGACGGACATTAGGGAGGGAGGATGTTAGAGCTTGATATAGCTTAATAATTAGGGGCAAAGTTTTAGTTTAACGAAATCCATCTTTAGAAGGAACAGCTGGGTTTTGAGATCCTATTCTCTCTCTTCTGCTAGATCTTCCATATTTGATATGGTTTCTGCAGTAACTGGGAAATTAATTGTTCTTATACAAACATTGTGTTGTGGTTGTATTTGAGAGCAGTTAATCATTAGTAAGTAACTGCAATGTTTTGTACAAGTACTCTGACTCAATCAACACTGCATCATCTCTCAACTTGAAAAGTTTTGAAGATTAGATGCAAGGCACAAAAATTATTTTGTGCTATTATTTTTATAGATAAACAGTTTCTTCAAAAGCACCAACAGAGTAGGATCCATGGTTAACCATTCTTGAACCCCTTTAGTAATCTTTTACAGGATTCTTCGTTTGTCAATCTAACTGTTGGAGTCATCGTTTCTCTCACGGCTGTAATGCATGTCAATGATCAAGTTAATTGGAAAATTAGTACCATACAATCAATATAATTCTTTACTAAAGTGCGGTGCAACCCAACCCACCCATCAATAATTGTTTTTACACTCCTCAATAATTCTTTGTAGGATTCATCTTTTTTAATTCCAATCAATTGATTGGATGTCCCTTTCATGGTTGCCTTGCATGCTTAAATCAGGTTAAAAAAAAAAATTTCAGAGCTGTCCCATTAATTAATGCTCCAAGTTAAAGTTCTATTCTAAAATTTAGTATGAGAAATATGAGTTCATGGGTTGTACATTTCTATCCAACTAACTTGAAATATGCTGTGCATGTTGAACTTAATGCGGTTTCTAATCTAACAGTAAATTTGGCAAAATATTCTTTCCATTGAAGTTACTATGGATTGTAAGACTAACTGTTCATACACGAAATTTATGTTTGGATCCTATTTGGTTACTGTTATTGGACACTCTGGCTTTCCATAAGTTTTTACTTTCTTAGGAAGTTCTCGAGTTTGTAAATAAGTTAGACTGCACTGAGATTAAACTTTTGAAGAGTTATTTTGTTGAAGATTGGTGATTCTAGTTTATTTTGACAATCTTCTTCTTGTGCTTCTCTTTCTACTTCTTCCTATTGCTATCAGAAACTGGGGCTAGTTAATTTCTGAAAACACAGCAAGTTATAGCGTAAAAGATCATCTATTCTATTTCAGTTCCACTTTCGAAGTACTATAATTACCTTCTACCTTCAGATTCATAAATACTAAGCTGCTTGAAGTTTGCCTCTTTAAAACGGAATGTTATTTATTCTTGTGTAAGCAACACCAATGAATATGAATTCCTTCTAGTTATGTTTCTATGCTGCTAAATAGATTCTAGAATAGCTCTGCCAAGCTTCAATTGATTTATTTTGTTGTCATTATCATTATCCAATTTGCATTTTGTGCCTCTTGGAAGTTTGTATATACACCACACTTTTCTTCTTGTAAGTTGTATTTTTGTGCCATGTTATATTTTGAAAATTATACCTGTCGAAGTTGCTTTCACTTACACAACTGTTGTGAAATGCGAAAATATTACAAGATGTATCACCTTCCTTAAATCATGGGTACCGAGTTACCCATATTTTATAAAAAATTCTTTCTTTGTAATTAATATATAAAATTAGATAGAGGGGATACCTTCTTAGGTACTAGTTATAACTTAGACATGAAGTGCCTTTGGAGGTCCATTGCACATTGGAAAGCTTTCTGTAACTCTCCTGTTCTGGATTCTTTGTGGATACCCTGTTTGTTATAGTACTATGGATGATTGTCTTTTGTACTGTAATTACTCCAATGGTCTTCTCCATGACAAAAGTTGCCATTTTGATCTTGGGTCATCTAAGAAATAATAAATGCAGACAATTTTTTGGTGCTGCAAGGAGTGTAGTTTTTTTCTCTTGACAGTTTTGGTGTTGTGTAGAGTATTCATACTATGAATGAAGTTGGGCAGTTGGGTTTCAATGATTTTTCAATATCGTCGCTTATAAGTGTTTCTTTTTCATCATAATCTTGTGGTCTTCTGCATGACTTGAATTTCTTAACCTGAATGTTGTTGGATGGAAATAAATTAATTTTCTTGCTAGACATATGCCAAACATATAATATTTTATGTTTATTATTGTTATTGGTTTTATTATATTAAGACTTTTTCCTCTTTGGTTTAGCTTGTGGGCAGGCTCTCACATGATGAACTGATGGCCAAGTTACCATCATTCTTGCCTGCTCTTTTTGATGCATTTGGGAATCAGAGTGCTGATGTTCGTAAGGTAAATATAATATCTTTGGATGGGTTCTTTTCTGCAGAACAAATGTATGTTAAATGTGACGAAAATGCTTTTCTGCAGAACAAATGTATGTTAAATGTGACGAAAATGCTATTTTCCTAATTTGCGCCAAAATTACATTGTGCAGTCGAATATTCTTATTAATAAAATTGTTGTTTTTTTATGAACATTAGTTTGTTGATTTGAGTTGGTAATTTAAATATTATTTCCTTGGGTGGCAGACTGTCGTTTTCTGTCTGGTGGACATCTATATCATTCTCGGGAAAGCATTCTTGCCGTACTTGGAGGGGCTTAACAGTACGCAATTAAGGTTGGTGACTATTTATGCTAACAGGATCTCCCAAGCTCGGACAGGTAGTACAATGGACGCTAACCATGCTCGGAAAAGCGAATGAAGATGCACTTCTTCCCTCTAAATATTGTGGGTGTGCGCCAAGATCAGACTAAAATTGTGGGCGTGCAGAGTCAATATAGTTATTCAATGTTTGTTGTATTTTGTATATGTGGGTATGTGCGCATCTTTAAGGTGTTTTTATTTTTTTTATTTTTTAAACAATATTTATATATTCAATTTTCATTTTTGGGTTGTGAATTAAGGGAGAATGCCTCTCGTGGGTGAACATTATGTGAAATTTCTTGTATGTAATTGATGAATTGTATATAGTTTGCACTGGTCTTGGGCGTAGTGGATGTCACAGTAATCGATCGTTCAAACTGGGCCTTTTTTTTTTTTTTATATATATATAATTTAGAATTATTTCTATTCTTTTACATTTATGTTTTACTTTTCTACTAATGAGGCTTGGAGCTCGAAGTAATCTTAGAAAAACCAATTGCTTTCGCTAAAAGATTAGATGAAAAGCAAAAATTCCGTAATAATTGCGTTCTCATGTTTCACTATTTGGTCTGGTGGTAAACAAGAAAAAGATTATTATTATTATTATTATTTTCCCTAAAGGATAAGATTATCCCAGATATTGGCGCATTTAACGAACTTATAAGGACATTGGAGGTTTCCTATCGTCCACGTCCACCGAGGTTGTCGGACAACGGATGAATGGTGGTTTGATGGATTGGTTGATCGACGTCTCAAACCTAGGTCATGGGACTGTTCTGAATTCCTTTTGATTTCAGCTAATTCGGCTGTCATCAAGGGTAATTCTCCATCTTGTCATGGGCTGGGCCGAGGTCAATTGCTTGCTATTTGTTGGGCCAAACAGGCCTTCTCTTTTGTTATTACATATGTAATCTGCTTGGGCTTCTTACTGGTCTCGTTGGAATTATCAGTTGTAAAAAAAAAAAAGAAGTTAAATTTGTTGATTAGTTTTTATTATAAATTATAATGGCAATTATTGAAATAAACATCTTACAAAGAGATTCTATACTATTTATTAGAATGGCAAGAAAAAAATGCCCCAGATTACTTGATTTAGTTTTGATTCGTGTAGGCCCAATTGGATATTTCCAGTCCAACAAAATAGTTCATACCAAATGGGCAATAGGGGAGTGTGTTTGCTTTGTGTCTTCCTGCTTTGTTTGTAGACCTGGCCACCAAAACCTCTCCGTCTGGACCCTTCTCTCTCCTCATTTCTCTCTCTCCCACCTTCGAAACCTGAACTGTCTCTCTCCTCTGCCTCTACACTCTCTGCATTCCTATAAGATGTATCGCTTCGTCACCAATATTGCTTCTAAAACTCAATAAGTGCAACAACAACAAAGGAAAATGATGTTTTGAATATCTGTTTCCCTCTCTTACTTGTCTCTCTTTGTTGTTTATAGGGTCGGGTCTCTAAGAACAGTGTTCAGCGGGTATTAATAGACTATATTGGGATTCAAGATTGGTAGTAGGGTTGGCTTGGAGCAGAAAATATGTTGCTTAGGGGTGTTGAAGAACTGGCCGATGTTGTTAAAGTAACCATGGGACCTAAGGTAAGTCATGATTAATGTTTCGTTGGCAGTATATATATTTTTGACGATGCCATTGTTTATGAGATAATTTACTAAAACAAGAAGGCTTCTTTTGTGAAGTGGAAAGAAAACAAAATACATAAATGTTGCGTTTGGGAGCTCCGAATCAGTGCTCTGAAATTGAAATTTGAATTGGAGAGAATTTAGTTCAAAGTTTGAACTAAATATCATCCAAATCCAAAGTGCTGGAAATTGTAGATTTTTTGCATCTTTTGTGAATATTTGTTAAATATAAGTGATACCTTCCGTGGTAATTTAATCCTTGCCACTAATGTGAGTATAAAAACATGACAGAATCATAGGCGCAAAAACATTCAGGCACAATAAATTACGCATACTCCCATTGTGATTATTTGTCCATTTGAGGGACACAATTATCTATTGTTTTTAATGAAGCACTGGTGTTGGTGTCCATATAACTATCAGTCCAACGTTTGCTGCCTTTGCTCCTTTTATGGAGCCAACAATGTGAAATTGTCACCCTTAGAGTAGCTGGTAGGTGCAAGTTTGAGGATACTCATTAAAATCAACATTTTGTAAATGGCTATACATTAGATCTCAAAAAAACTAGGACACTGATACACCATGTCCGTATTCTATTTTAGGAGATGTCTTCACTTTTTCTTCTATTAGGGCCCGTTTGGCATGCGTTTTGTTTTTGGCGTTTTGTTTTTGGCTAAAACAGAAACAGTATTTTTGTTGTAGAGCGTTTTGGAGAAAATTCGGAAGTACATTTGGGAACTATGCTTTTTTGTGAAAATGTCAGAAATAAAAATATGAATAACATGTTTGGGCACACAAATATTTTTATATTTATATATATATATATATATATATATATATATATTTTAATTTTTGCTATAAACTAGTTTATATACACATGTAATATATATATATATATATATATATATATATATATATATATATTTTAATTTTTGCTATAAACTAGTTTATATACACATGTAATATCTTTATTCCTAAAATTAAAATATATATATATATATATACACACACACACATGTATCGGTGGTGATGAAAATCCAGTTAAGGGCTCGGACTGAAAACTTGCCCAAACATTAATCGGTCACAGATTCACGATCAAATTCGCAGCCAACTGGTGTGACCTTCGAAGAACCACCTGAAAATGGATGCACAAGAAGGAGGCGCACACAAAGCTCAAATAACAACAACGATCTCCTCAGAAACCCTAATTTCAGATACCGAAACGAATTAGCAATCAACAACGCATCACTAGAATGAATTCTCATGAAGATCAAGAAGATAACGGAGTTGGTGAATCGAAACCCTCAAAATTTGGTCAGAAAGAGATTCTGGGAGCACTCAAAGTGGTCGAGAGGGACTCCGTGGCGGTTGCCGAGAGCTTCACCACTCTCTTCGCTTCTCTCCGTTTGGCCCTCTCTGAGGTTTCTCACTCTTCGCTTCAATTTTTCTACCTCATATCTTCTTCAATTTAGGTAGGCTTGGGTCGGTGGTGATGAAAATCTAGCTTCGATGTTGTATTTGATATCGCCCTTGAATCGCAGAGAGAGAGTATCAGGAGAGAAGAGAGAAAATTTGCCCAAAAAATGACCTAAAATGTTATATACGTGAAACAAGTTGGGCCGGCTACTTCCTCCGCTACAGTGAAAAATTGTCCAAACAGTACTGAAACAAGATAAAACACCAAAATGGTGTTTTTAGTTTTGGGCCTCTTTATTGAAATACTTTTTAACTGTGCAAAACAAAACAAAATCAACCAAACATATTTTGGGCTTCATTTGGGTTACTGTAGCGGACCTGAAACAAAAACACAAAAACAAAGTAGATGCCAAACAGCCCCTTATTCTATTTCTCCTCTTTTTCTTCTTCTTCTTCTCCTCGCTTTTTCTCTCATTGATTTGACTTACATTTTGATATTTGTTGTTAGGCTTTTAAGCCTAATTTTTATTTTTACATTTTTACCCCATTAAATTTTAAATTTCAAGCTGTGCTCGTCTCAAGAAAAATAATCATATAAAATGTACCCAATGGAGTTTCCGTGCTTCCTAGGTTTAAAGAGATGGAAATAGAAGGAAAACAAAAGAGAAAATTTCTTTTTACAATTTTTCCTTAATGTTGCCCCAAAAAGGAAAAGGGTGTGTGTGTGTGTGTGTTGGGGGGGTGGGGGGTGGGGGGACAATTATAAAAGTTTACAAAGTCAATATTCCATGGTCGGTTATTGCTTGTTACCAATTATATTCCATTAGCATGCAAAATTGGGGTTAGTGGGTGTTTAAATTTGCAATTACTATATGGTTCAAACTTAGAAGTAGGAATTTGTAACTAGGGGTGTATAAGCACACTCGTTTACGAGGTCCAAGTGCTGCATAGTTAAATTTCAAGACTTTTTGTGCAAGAAGTAATTACCCTTACCTATACATACATACATATATATATGTATATATATATATGGGGATTGCCGCCTAAACTCATGCCTGCACTTCTACCACTAAACCTAATGATGGCCCTTAGTGAGACTTTTCCTTTAATTTTTCTGTTTGGTTCAATTCTCTGTGAACCGATTTCAAAAGCTTTGGAAACGATTTTTCAGAAAATTACAAAAGAATGTTCTCTTAAGTTAGAAATTTGAATTCAAAATATTTGTTCCTCTATGGCCATGTGGTGTCTTTTAATTTGATTAAAAGTCCTTATATCCACTAAGATAATGAAATTGGATGACAAGTATGGTAAGGGAGTAAAGTTCTTTTTTCTCTTTTCATATTATCATGAGAATATGGGTACTTTCTTGAAAGAAGCCGCCAGTATTATTTCAAATTGTAGTATAGGTTTAAAAAATATATATAAATAAAATCAATGAGGATGGTGGTGAAAATGTAAGTACCTTACATCATTTATACGATGTGATTGCATGGCATTCAGTCTCTATCCTTTTCTTTCTGCTTGTTGTTTTCATTTTTTCATATAGTTATCTAAGTATGCTATGTTTCATTTTTTGGTATTTTTCCTGTAATATTCTTTCCTACTAATGTATTGTGGTTGTGGAGGCTAGTGTACTTCTATTTTCCTGTGTCTCTTAGATCATTGATTCTCTTAGATCATTGATTCCCATACTATGTAGTTTGATGGTTGACTAGTGTTGTTTGTTTGTGGGTGTTTTTCATGTAGTTATCTAAGTTTTGGTGCCCCTAAAGTGACAAAAGATGGTGTTACTGTGGCGAAAAGCATCGAGTTTAAGGATAGAGTTAAGAATATCAGTGCTAGCCTTGTGAAGCAGGTTGCAAATGCTACCCATGATGTTGCAGGCGATGGTGAGATATTATACATTTGTTGAAGGCTACCTAATTGTGTTTTCTTCAGTTGGATATAGTTGTTCTTTTGAAGTGCTTTGTTCATTTATATTGTTATTTCTAGTCTTTTAAGCAGTAGTATCTTGATAGAGAGAAATCGGAGAATTGTTTCGACATGTACTAGATCTTGAGTAAAATGGAAGAGCTATCCGAAGGCGGACTTAGTTGGTGATATGAAAGTTGTTTTGCATGTTTTCAGGTACCGCTTGTGCAGCAATCCTCACCCGTGCTATATATTCTGAAGGGTGCAAGTCAGTGGCAGCTGGAATGAATGTCAAGGACCTGAGACGTGGGATCACAATGGCAGTGGATGTGGTGGTGACAAACCTGTAGAGCAGAGCACAGATGATCAGTACA